CAGGGGGATAGCTTGAGGCTCTGTCTCAAAAAAAAAAAAAAAAAAAGAAATGTACATGTAAGCACAGACCTTAAAAGAAATCAGAAAGGCAGGGCACCATGGTTCATGCCTGTAATCATAGCACTCTGGGAGTCCGAGGCAGGTGCTGGCCTGAGCTACAGGTTCAAAACCAGCCTTAGCAAGTGCAAGACCTTGTCTCTAAAAAATAGCCAGGCTGGGCAGCACCTGTGGCTCGTGAGTAGGGCGCTGGCCCCATATACTGAGGGTGGCGGGTTCGAATCTGGACCCAGCCAAACTGCAACAACAACAACAACAACAAATAGCCAGGCATTGTGGTGGGCTCCTGAAGTCCCAGCTACTCAGAAGGCTGAGGCAAGAAAATCTCCTAAGCGCAAGAGCTAGAGGTTGCTGTGAGCTGTGATGCCACAGTGCTCTACAGAGGGTGACAAAGTGAGGGAAGTGTCAGCTCCCTCTTAAAAAAGGAAAAAAAATAGCCAGGTATTGAGTGGGGGCAGCTTGTAGTCCCAGCTACTCGGGAGGCTGAGATCAGAGAATTACTTGAGCCCAAGAGTTTGAGGTTGCTGTGAGCTGTGCCACAGCACTCTACCGAGGGTGAGAAAGTGAGACTTTGTCTCCAAAAAGAAGAAATCAAAGCCAGGAGTGGCAGGTCATGACTGTAATCCCAGCACTTTAGAAGGCTGAGGAAGAGGATCACTTAAGGCTCAGAGTTTAAGACAAGCCTTGGCAACATAGCCTATTTCCTTTTATTTTTTTGAGACAGAGCCTCAAGCTGTCCCCCTGGGTAGACAGCTCACAGCAACGTCTAACTCCTGGGCTCTAGCAAGTCTCCTGCCTCGACCTCCCAAGTAGCTGGGACCACAGGTGCCCACCACAACGCCCAGCTATTTTTTGGTTGCAGCTGTCATTGCTGTTTGGCAGGCCTGGGCTGGATTCAAACCTGCCACCTTAGGTGTACGTGGCTGGTGCCTTAGCCACTTGAGCCATAGGCGCTGAGCCACATAGCCTATTTCTACAAAAACATTTTAAAAATTGGTAATGGGGCTCGGCGCCTATAGCTCAACCGGCTAAGGCGCCAGCCACGTACACCTAAGGTGGCGGGTTTGAATCCCCAGCCTGGACCCGCCAAACAACAATGACGGCTGCAACCAAAAAATAGCCGAGTGTTGTGGCGGGCGCCTGTGGTCCCAGCTACTTGGGAGGCAGAGGCAGGAGACTCGCTTGAGCCCAGGAGTTGGAGGTTGCTGTGAGCTGTGATGCCACGGCACTCTGCCCAGGGGGACAGCTTGAGGCTCTGTCTCAAAAAAAAAAAAAAAAATTAGTAATGGTGGCTTGTGCCTGTATTTTCAGCTACACAGAAGTTGAGGCAGGGGGATTGCTTGAGCCCAGGAATTCAAGGCTGCAGTGAGCTATGACCATGCCATTGCATGCCAGCCCAGGTGACAAGCAAGACCCTATCTCTTTAAAAAAAAATACAAAAGAGAAATAGACTTCAGGCCAGAAAAATAATTTTAATGTAAAGTAGAAAGTATCAATCCATCTTCTTGTCGTTTTTCTTGCTCTATTGACTCCTGTACCCTGACAAGGCAGGATAAGCAGGCTGTATTCTTAGAGCGGCTGTCCGTGTGGGACAGAGTCTCTTATATTGATAGCTTACTCCCAGATTTAGAGGAATGTTAGTGTCCTTTAGATCTGGGAGCAGACACAAATGATACAATAATTTATATGTGATTCATAGCCTCTGCCGATCCCGTCTTTTCCTCCTCACAGTCAAGAGGCAGCTGCATCATCCTTGGACTCATGGGGCCCAGAGTTCCTTTTAAAGAACCTACAAAATAAATGCATAGTGAGGAAGGGGAACTTAGGAGTGTTGGGGTAAGGAAGAGGGAAAAAGAGCCTGGATCTTTGAAAGTATCTCCTTCCTGGCTAAGGACTAGGGACTGAAAGAAGGAGGAAGGAGAAGGTAAATCTGGGGAAGGAAGGAGGAAGGAGAAGGTAAATCTGGGGAAGGAAGGAAGGAAACAGAACAATGCACCTTCTCTGCTGAGTTGCATCCTTTGCTGGAATTCATGTTGATATTCTTCATGGAGATGAGCGTGATGCTGTCTTTCTCTCGACCGGCTGTGGAACAGCTTGGGGAGGTAGGGAGTCTAGGTTAGAGGGGAGGGGAGGCCAATGGGGAGTCAGGGAACTATAGGATTTTTGAACTTTGGACTTTCGTTTGAAAAATCTGTATTTTGGTTGTGGACCAAAATGATATAACAGTGTACTTTGAAGCCCAAAAGATTTGTTTTTATTTTTTTATTTTTTTTGAGACAGAGCCTCAGCAGTCCCCCTGGGTAGAATGCCATGGCATCACAATTCACAGCAACCTCCAACTCTCAGGCTCAAGCGAGTCTCCTGCCTCCGCCTCCCAAGTAGCTGGGACCACAGGCGCCTGCCACAATGCCTGGCTATTTTTTTTGCAGCCATCATTGTTGTTTGGCAGACCTGGGCTAGATTCAAACCCGCCACCTTAGGTGTATGTGGCTGGTGCCTTAGCCACTTGAGCCACAGGCGCTGAGCCAAGCCCAAAAGACTTGTATTTAAATTTGCTTGCTTATACTACCTACTACTTGTTTGATCCTGATCAAGTTACAACCTTTCTAAATTCTCAATTTTTATAATATATAAAATGAATTAATATATACTTGAAGAACTGCTGTAAAAATCTGAGATAATATTACAAAGCATAAACCATTATGCTAGGCACATAGCAGGGATTCAATAACCAGTTCCTAAGCTTTGAGGGAATGCCTTCTTTTTTTTAGAGACAGAGTCTCACTTCGTGGCCCTCAGTAGAGTACTGTGGCGTCACAGCTCACAGCAACCTCCAGCTCGTGGGCTTAGGTGATCCTCTTGCTTCAGCCTCCCCAGTAGCTAGGACTACAGGTGCCCGCCACAATGCCTGGTATAGTGTATATGATATGTGATATGAGGTATGTGGATGTGAGGGTGGGATGTGGGGTATGTGTATGTGGGATGAGGGGTGTATTAGGATGTGTGTGTGCTGTGGGGTATATGTGTGTAGGAGGCAGGAAGTGTCAGCTCCCTCTTGGAGTAGAGAGTAGGAGGTCAGAAATTTCTTTCCTGAGGCTTCTGATAGTCTTACCTTTCAGACAGCCCAGAACTCCCTGGTTTCTGGGGATCTGTAAAAATCCAAAGACACAGATTGAGGGTCAAACGCTGACTGAGGGTCGGAAGTCCAGGCTTCCCCTCAAAGCCCACCCAAGGCGACCCTCTCATCTCATGGAGTGGTGCTTGTGCTGTTCCTTCCCTCAGTTCCAGGCTGGGTGTCACCTTTGGCTTTGACCCTCAGACCAGAGCAAAGAGGGGCAAAGGGGAGCCCTTAGGGTCATAGCAGGTACCTTCAGACTCCTTGTTCTTCCGACACTTAAACCTTAGACTGACAACGCTGACTAGGATGATCACCACAACCACCAGGATGACAATGAAGCTGATAACACCTGAACAAGGAAAAGAACAGTGTGAAAGGAGGCAGAGGAAGGGACAAAGGGGGTAACCGGAGTCTAGATTCCCTTCCCAGCCGAGTCCTATATAAATAGGCTCTGGGAGCAAAGCAAATTCCACTTCTCTGTGGAACAAATGAGCCCTCAGCCTGCTGCCCGCAGCCAGAGTGGGCTCCATAACCTAGCTCCATACCCTATGAGAACATGGAAGAGGTTCCCTCCCATTAGGGCAGGAGTCCTCAAACTTTTTAAACAGGGGGCCAGTTCACTGTCCCTCAGACCGTTGGAGGGCCAGACTGTGGGCCCTGGGATGAGTTGGCTGCTAAGCAGGACAGGCAGTGGCAGCAAAAACACCCAGTGAGCCGGATAAATGTTCTAGGCAGTCTGCATGTGGCCCGCGGGCTGTAGTTTGAGGACGCCTGCATTAGGGCCTTCCTCATTTGCCAGTCTCTCTCAGAACAAATGGGTGAGATTTGAACTTGTGGTTCCAAATTCAGAGTCCAGCTCATGTCCAAGACTCAGGTCCCTTCCCATACACCACCTCCTCCTCCCATGTTCCACCTTCTTCTCCCTTTCTCACCAAATGCAGCCACAGTGAGCACGGTCTCTGAGGTGGGGCTGGGCAGGATGCCCAAGTCATCCCTTGCACTTGGGCTTGTGGTGGTTGAATTGGGAGTAATATTTTGAGACGTGTCTAAAATGGAGGGGGTTAGGTGTGTTAGGGAAGAGGACCCACACAGCCTCCCAGAGACAGCTAGCTTCCCTCCTGCTTCCTCAGGTCAAAGACCACAGAGAAAGCTCATGTCCTACAAAAAAGACTTGCTCCCTGCCACTCCAACCAGATCCTATGAGGATAGAGGTCAGAACTGCAGTGATGTGGGGTTCTGTGAACAACATTGCTAGTTGTTCATGTTACTGGTTCCAGAGGACTCCAGAATGTTCAGGATGTTTCCCTCTTTGTGATTTTCCCACCATCCTTGAGATCAGAGGAAAGGGGCTCATGCTAGGGTAGGGGTCCTCAAACTTTTTAAACAGAGGGCCAGTCACTGTCCCTCAGATCACTGGAGGGCCAGACTACAGGCCCCAGGACGAGTTGGCTGCTAAGCAGGACAGGCAGTGGAGGCAAAAACACCCAGCGGGCCAGATAAATGTCCTAGGTGGGCCACATGTGGCCCATGGGCTGTAGTTTGAGGACACCTGTGCTATGGATATAGGGAGGTAGACTGGACAAGGTAGCGCCATCTGTGTTTTGCCAAGAGTAGAGGTGGAAGGAAAGAAGGGCACTGGAGGCTGACACCTAAGTGCCCATCCAGGCTGCCAGTGAAGGCGTGCAGGTTTCTGGCCCTCTTAAAAAGTGCTATGGTCACCCACTTCTTCCCTCCTTGACTCATACTTCAGGTCTGGTTGCTGCTCTATTTTCTTATCTTTCCTCATCTCTGCCCTCCCAAATAAGTCTAGGAGTTTAAAAAGCCCCAGAGCCAAGGGATAAGATGAAGAGGGAAGATCACAAACACTTCCCCTCAGCTCCCCCTCACCGTGAGCACAGACAGAACATATCTCCACTTGTGCTGCTGCCTCCACCACTACTGCTACTTGGGGCACCTGTGCCTACACCATGAGACACCCTGGCCAAGATGGGGGGCATCTACCCCTCCCCAGCTCTTCCCCCACACTGCTAGTTGAAGGCCCACCTGTCCTGAGAAGAGTCTAGCCCTTTCCCAGCATTTCCTGCCTCCCTTTCCCTTCTCTTTAGGGTCTTCCTCTCTAGCTCTGCCTTCAGCAGTCCCAAGTCCAGCTCCTTTTGCCTTCCCTCTGGCCAGGGCTGAGTTCCTGTCTCTATTCCCTACCAAACCTCTCTCATTCTTTTGCAAACCAGGTTACTGCTGACATGGATCTTGGCTCCAAGACCTCTGATTGTAGGGTAGCACCTGGGCCTCACAAAGAGAAGACATTACCCAGATATACCCCAGAGTCCTTCACCCACCCACCCCCAGCCTGCCCCAGGCACTTACTAAGTCCCAATGTGTGTTTCTGTGGCTGCACCTGAGTTTGGACCTGTGAGAACAGGGAGTTACCATCCACGGTGCGTGACCTTGGCACTGTAGGTTTGTTCGCTCCTATGGGGGTGTGTGAGGGCTTCTTTGGAGCAGCTGGAATGAGAAAGCAGATGGGGGCCTGCTCAGGGCCTCACAGCATATACACAGGGAGGGCTCTTCAGTTCAAAATCTTCCTTTTCTTTATTGCTTTCAATTCCAGGTAGGGCCATTCTCATTCACTTCTGGGGCTTTACCTGTACGGTGCTCTCTGCCTGGACAGAGCCCTATCACCCTCTATCTCATAGCTTTTGCCTGTTCACTTAAGTCCCTCTCGGCTTTAGAGGCTGCACACTCTGGGAATCATCCCTGGCTGTCCAAGTCTGAAGTGTCTGGCACTGGTCTGGGGTCCCATAACACCTACTTGTGCCCATCACAAGCCTTCTCACCTGCTTTGTAATTGTCAGTGTGAGGTTCTATTCACTTATCTGTTCTCCCACTAGTTTATATTCACCTTTAGAGCAGAAAGTCACTGGGCCCTCCCTAGATGAGTTTTGTGGTTTGAATGGCACAATACCTGTGGTACCGGTGCTGGGCAGAGGGCTTGGGCTGTTAGGCTCTGAGGAAGGGATGTCTCCTGCAAGGACAAAGGCAGATGGGAATTGGAGGTGGTGCAGGTTTGGTGATACTACCCAAGAATGCTGGGGGCTCCAAGCATGTCTGAGTGACTGGGCATGGGGCAGGAGAGGGGAGATCAGCTCCTCAGCAACCACACTCACCTGTGTTGGGAAAAGCTGGCTCTGTGGTCAGCCCTAAACTGATGAAGGCTCCTGAAACAGATCATAAGAGGCTGAGGAGTCTGCTGACTCCTGTTGCTTTTTTTCTCTCTCTTCTTTCCTATATCTGGTGAATCTGTCTTCCCACCCCCAACCATTCATCTCTTTTAAGGCATGTTAGATTAGACCAGCTGAAAAAAATCCCTAGATGAGCTTATTGTTGGATGAGTTCATGAGACCCCCAGCCCCAATCACCTGAGGTTAGTGCTAACCTGGTATAGAGCTCCTCCCACCCTTTTTAAAAGCTACTAGGGTTAAATACGGGAGTAGAATCTAGATGTTTAGTCTTACCCTGAGAGCTGGAGGTCTGGCTTGTTGTAATCTGTGAGTTGTGGCCTATAAGAGAAAGCAAAATACATAGACTAGCTTGCAAATCTGCCCAGCTCAGAACCCATAGAGGAACCATGGCCTTTTGGTTTTCTAAGCCTCCCATGCTAGAAGGCAGATACACTCATCAGAGGGCTTACAAATGTGGGCTCTAGCCCATAGTGCTGGTTTCCTCTGAGACTGACTCAGTAGCACCATCACTACCACCTCATATTCAGAGTCTCAGAGTCTTCTCCTGTCTCTTTGATTCCACATGGGGGTTATGTAGGATGACCAGATTCTAACATTTGTAAAGCAGGACATTATGGTGGCGGCGAGGGGGGCAGGGGACGGGGCAGGGCAGGGCCTGACAACAATGCAAACTTTCATAAGCAGTTCTCAATAGTCACTTCTCAACAATTATTTGTTATTATTACAGTTTAACATTATAAAATTAACAAAATAATATAAAACTCATATTCTGGAGAAATAGCCATATGGCAGCCAAAAACCGTATATTCCCTTCCTGTTCTCCTGCCCCTTGGTGCATTCTTTCCAAAAATTGGGACTTTTTTAAAACACCGCAGGATGCGGGACAAATTGTTAAAAATCGGGACGTCTGGTCACCCTAGGGTTATACCAACCTGCCAGGGACCAGGGGAAGGTTATTTTAAGTAGCAACAAGTCCAGGTGGCGCCTGTAGCTCAGTGGATAGGGTGCCGGCCACATACACCGAGGCAGGCAGGTTCGAACCCGGTCTGGGCCTGCTAAACAACAATGACGACAACAAAAAAATAGCCAGGCATTGTGGGGGGCGCCTATAGTCCCAGCTACTTGGGAGGCTGAGGCAAGAATATCACTTAAGCCTAAGAGTTTGAGGTTGCTGTGAGCTATGATACCATGATACTCTATTGAGGGCGACATAGTGAGACTCTGTCTCAATAAATAAATAAATAGGAACAAGTCCAAGGACAGAAAACCAATGATTTACTTGCCACATTCAGACAAGGACTCAGGACTCCAGGTCTTTAGGCGAATATTGACCCTAAACTGCCAATGGGCCATTCATTTGCCCTTGTGAAGACTATCATCCTGGACCTGCCTTAAGGAAAGGGGATGGGAAGATGGAAAGGTGAAGTAGATGGGGGGGCAGGGATTAGGGCTTGTATCTGGGCTCTCTGCCCTCCCCCAGTGGGAGGTAGGAGCCTGCACAGGAAGGCAGTTCCAAGGTACATATAGGAGGCCAGGAAGCTCCAGAATGAGCAACCCTTTAACTCTTACAGGCAGAGGTTACTCCAGAAACAGTTGTTATTGGCCAAACCCAGACAAGAGTCAGATACAGGAGTCCCTGGTCAAAGCCCCACCCTCTGGCTCAGCGCCTGTGGCTCAGGCAGCTAAGGCGCCAGCCACATACACCTAAGGTGGCGGGTTCGAATCCCCAGCCCCGGCCCGCCAAACAACAATGATGGCTGCAACCAAAAAATGGCCGGTCGTTGTGGTGGGCGCCTGTGGTCTCAGCTACTTGGGAGGCTGAGGCAGGAGATTCGCTTGAGCCCAGGAGTTGGAGGTTGCTGTGAGTGTGATGCCATGGCACTCTACCCGGGGGGATAGCTTGAGGCTCTGTCTCAAAAAAAAAAAAAAAGCCCCACCCTCTGGCCAGAGGTCTCATTATCTTCTTTGTATGTATATATGTGTCTGTGAGCCTCTTTGCAGGTGGTTCTCAACCTTCCTAATGCTGCGGCCCTTTAATACAGTTCCTGTGGGTCACGACCTACAGGTTGAGAACTGCTACTCTATGCAGATGTGTGTGTGTGCATGTGTGTCTCCATGTGTGTCCTGCTGTGTGTATGGGACCTGAAAGCTCAGGTTGTGTTTGCTCATTTTCCACAGTGAAATCATTCTTCAAACCTGTGAACAATGTGAAAGGAAAACAATGTGGGGAAGCAGAGTCGCCCAGCTGGGTTCCCGTCCCTCTGCTTGGGCTGGGCCTGCAGTCCCCAGCCTGGCCCTCCTGCTCATGTCCTCTCATCATCAGGGAAGCTCCAAGCCCAGGCCTGGGTGCACAGAGACAGCCAGCCAAAAGGGCCCACCCCAGCCTGTGGCAGCCTGTGGCAGCCTCTTGCTCTGTTTATTTTCCTTAAGGAACTGCCTTCCTCCTTGGGGCTATCACTTGGATTAACATAAATTGTTTCTAAGCCCAAGCTTCCCAAACTCTGGGCCATGATTTTCGAGGTTACCATTTTTTCAAGCCCCTATTCCTTTGTTGGGTGGGAGAGAGAATCAAGAGGGGAGCTAAAGTTTGTAAGAAGTTTTGGCTAAAGAGAACCCTGTCTAGCTGGGGATGACCCTGGGAGAACGCTTTCAGTACAAGTGTGTCCTGAAGACATCTATTGATTATTTATTTATTTATTTATTTTGAGACACAGTCTCACTATGTCACCCTTGGTAGAGTGCTATGACATCATAGCTCACAGCAACCTCAAACTCTTGGGCTTAAGCAATTCTCTTGCCTCAGCCTCCCAAGTAGCTGGGACTACAGGTGCCCACCACAACACCCAGCTAGTTTTCTTTAGCAGGCCCAAGCTGGGTTTGAAACCGGTAACCGGATGTTACCGGTTAACAACTGAGCTATGGGCACCGAGCCAATTGATTATTTATTGAGCTTATCTAATTCATTATCTAAATTCTGTAACTTAGTCTTTGGTGGGAAGGCACAGTGGACCATCCTCCTGCATTTATCTAGGAAGAAAACTATTTACTGGCGTGGGAGGAGTTCCAAAATCACAAGCTTCAAGTCCCAGTTCCCTGCTCTCTCTTTGCCTCTTCCCCCTCTCCCTACCCAAACTTGTCACTAATTAAGATTCCTCTGTGAGTAGGAGAGGGATTTAGGGAGCATCTCTGTCTGCAGGCCAGGGTGCCTCTGACCACTGAGCATTGAGATACTCAAAGAACTCTAGCCATAGGAATTTCTGATTTCCCCTCTTAATCTCTGTCAGCTTTATTCCCTTCCAGTCTATCTCTAGTCTCTACCCTCTTTGTCCTTAAAGGCCTAGTTTATTAGTTAAAATCATACATCTTAGAGTATGACAGGCTTGAGTTCAAGTCATAGCTCTGTCACTGACTGTCTGACCTGGCTTCAGTTTTCTCTACCTTAAAATGCAAGTAATGGGCTCGGCGCCTGTAGCTCAAGCAACTAGGGCGCTAGCCACGTATACCAGAGCTAGCGAGTTTGAATCCAGCCTGAGCCTGCCAAACAACAATGATGATAACTACAAGCAAAAAAAAAAAAAATGCAAGTAATGGTGGCATCCATAGCTCAGTAGGTAGGGCATCGGTCACCTACACCGAGGATGGTGGGTTCAAACCCAGCCCAGGCCAACTAAAACAACAATGACAACTGCAACAACAAAAAAATGTCCAGGCATTTTGGCGGGTACCTGTAGTCCCAGCTGCTTGGGAGGCTGAGGCTAAAGAATCGTTTAAGCCCACGAGTTTGAGGTTGCTGTGAGCTGTGACACCACTGCACTCTACCCAGGGGGGCAGCTTGAGATTCTGTCTCAAAAATAAATAAATGAATGAAATGCAAGTAATAGTAGTAACTCAAAAGTTGTGAGAAAAAGAAAATGCATATAAAGCACTTAACACAGTGCCTGAGAGATCATCCATGCTTATTAAATGCTAGACACGTTTATTTTTGCCCTATTCTCTCACATCCTCGAGTCTGCCCTGGCGATATGCATCCACAGTGGAGTCCCTTTGTGGGCCTGAATGTGCTCAGGATTCTTTGGTCCGCCAAAATGAAGGAGGCAGCTAAGTGTTCTGCACTCTCTCCTCAGGGGAGGTGATAGTGGCTTAGTTTATACAGGGCATTGGAGAGCCCTGCCTGGGAGAAGACAATGGGTTGGCAAACTGGGAGAAGTCTAGGCCTGTGTAAATGCCCCCTCACCAGCTTCACCTGGCCATACAGAGTTTTATTCCCAGCCTGTGGGCTGTCTGACCTCCCTCCCCAGAATCTGAGTGTTCTGGTTCTCAGGTCCACTCACCTACCTCCAGGAAAGGGCCACCACCCTTCCCATCCAGGCACTCTTGCACTCTGCTGCTTTGTGCACAGAGGACTTACAGAGAGTGAGGTGGGGGCAGGGGAGGGATGACCGAAGGGAAGTTGCTGCCCTGTGAGTCAGAATGTCCTGGGATTTTCATGATTCCCAGCAACTTCTCCCTAATTAGAGGACTCCTTATGAGCTGCTTCACGAGCCCTATCTGAGCAGTGCTGTTTCTGAGTAATCTCCTCTGGAGGTCCTCTCACCTAGCCCCCCTCTGGGTGAGAATGGTAATTCTTTTTGATAAGTAGTTCTTTCTTTGGGTCTAATCTGAGTTCCTCTTGCTGTGATTTGAGCTTAATCAACATTTGGAATTCCCAGGTTGCTACTCCTCATATGAAAGAAGGAAAACGATCACCTATAAAGCCCAAGGTGCAGACAATTTGGTGTTAGAACAGTTGATAGAGTGGCCATGGTTAGCCCTGCCCTGGACCGCAAGGTGAAGCCCAACGGGGTAGCCTCTGGCTTCTTAGGTCTGCCTACACCTAGAAGGAGCTTTCCAGCCTGAGTCCCACACCAAGATAGCCGCTTCCCACAATTCAGGAGGCCAGCCTCCATGGGGGCCCCAGTTCCCACTAGACAATTTCCCACAAAAGAGTTTAACCATATCTCTATTCTACCCCTGCCTGGTAAAGGCATCCTCAGCCCAACTGGTCCCCTTCGAAAAAAAGCTCTGGAATTTCCCTCAGCACAGCCCCAGAAGGAAAGCATGTGTATCCTGAAGGACTGAAAGAGGGACCAAGCACCCAGGACTGCCAGCCATGGAGAGGAATTGCTGAAGGAAAGTGGCAGGTGCCCCTTACCTTGGAGCAGGAAGAAGCCCAGGATGGCCCAGCTCAGCTGCATGGCTCCTACAGTCCCCATATCAGCTGGGTATGTGGCCGGCAGGCAGCAGCTCTGTGGAGGCTCTGTCCATACTGGAGAAGAGAGAGGGAGTGCTGGGGCAGGGTAGAGGGTGGGGGCTGGCTCTCCAGGAGCTTCCTGTCAAAGAATAGAAGGAAACAGATTGGAACTAGCTCCAAGGGCCTGCTAAACCCGGCAGCCCAGATAAGGATGTGAAGCTGCAGCAGCAGAGACTACGTGCCAGGGTCCTGTGTGGCCTCGAGGGCCTATGCGTGATGATCAGTGATGGTGACTTGGCCCCATACTTTTTCTCTTCTTCTCAGAAGGGTCCATCACTTTCCACCAAACACCACCAGAGGAATTTCCTGGAATCCAATTCCAATCTAACCCCCTGCTGTTTCAGACCAGGTTCTCCTCTATAACTAAGGCTAAATCTCAGCCTATCAGCCATCTATGCTCTGTAGATTGAATTCACCACATTCTTCTCCCTCCTCAGGACTCCTTGTGTAGATGACACTCCCAATATCTTTCCAGGAGGCCCTACATCCATTAATGTTATTCTTGTTTTTTTCTTTTTTGAGACAGAGTCTCACCCTGTTGCCCTGGGTAATGTGCTATGGCATCCTACCTCACAGCTACCTCAAACTCTTGGGCTCAAGTGATCCTCTTGCCTCAGCCTCCCAAGTAACTGAGACTATAGACGCTTGTCACAATACCAAACTAGTTTTCTATTTTTAGTAGAGACAGGGTCTTCCTCTTGCTCAGGCTGGTCTCGAACTCCTGAGCTCAGGCAATCTGCCCACCTCAGTCTCCCAGAGTGCTGGGATTACAGGTGGGAGGCACCGCGCCTGGCCCCCTAAACTCAAAACATTTGAAAACAGAGAAAGGGGCTTGGCACCTGTGTCTTAAGCGGCTAAAGTGCCAGCCACACACACCAGAGCTGTTGGGTTCGAATCTAGCCCAGGCCACCAGACAACAATGACAACTATAGCCAAAAATAGCTGGGCGTTGTGGCAGGAGCCTGCAGTCCTAGCTGCTTAGGAGGCTGAGGCAAGAAGATCGGTTAAGCTCAAGAGTTTGAGGTTGCTGTGAGCAGTGACACCACAGCACTCTACCCAGGGTGACAGCTTGAGACTCTATCTCAAAAAAAAAAAAAATGCTGAGAACGGTTACACACAATCCTCCCTCCTTAATATTAATTACATCATTGTTGTGGATTTCCTTCCTGTCTATATGCCTTCCAATCCGTGAAAATATGCATATACATATACAATCACTTATATGACTGATATTCTTTTCTATTTTTAATAAATATTTTATTTTGAAGCAGTCACAAATTTACAGAAAACTTGAAAGCACATTATACAGAACTGTTTTCCATAAACCAATTGAGAATAAATTGTCGACAGGATGATGCCCCAGCACCCTGAATACTTTAGTGTGTATTTCCTACAAATAAAGACAGTATCCTGCATAATTACGTTTAATATATTAATAACCATCTAATCTTCAGATCCTATCCCAATTCTTTTGGATGTAGAGTCTTGCTCTATTGCCCCAGCTAGAATGCAGTGGCATCATCATAGCTCACTGCAACCTCAAACTCCTGGGCTCAAGCAATCCTAGTGCCTCAGCCTCTACAGTAGCTGGGACTATAGACAGTCCTGCACCACAATGTCTGCTAATTTTTTTCTATTTTTTGTAGTGATGAGGATAAGCTCAGGTCTCAAACTCCTGACCTCAAGACATCATCATGCTTTGACCTCCCAAAGTGCTAGGATTAAATTCATGCCCTTAGCTTTCCTGTATTTTCTAACTTTGACAGTTGTCTCAATAATGTCCTTTGTAGCAAAAGGATCTTGTTCAGAATTATTCATTGCATGTCTGTTTAGTCTTCTTCAATCTGGAATAGTTCAGTCTTTCCTTGATTTTCATGACCTTAACACTTTGAAAGTGTTTCAATTATTTTATAGAATGCCCTTTAATTTGGGTTCATCTAATGTTTCCTCATGATTAAGTTTAGGTTAATTGACTTTGGCAGGAATGTCACAGAAAACATATTGTGTACTCTCTGGATTCTATCAAATAAGTCATGATTTTTTTTGAGATGGTGCCTTACTATGTTGCCCAGGCTGGTTTCAAACTCCTGGGCTCAAGTGAGCCTCAGGCCTCAGCCTCCCAAGTAACTGGGACTACCAACATGCGCCACCATGCACAGTGTGCATGATTTTAATTTCTTCCATTGCTGATGATGTTCACTTTGATCACTTGCTTAAGATGGTGTCTGCCAGTATTATTAGTTCCCTGGGGCTACTATCACAAATTACCACAAGCCAAGCGTGGTGGTTCACATCTGTCATCCTGGCACTCTGGGAGAAGAGGGAAGTGGGTGGTTCTCCTGAGCTCATGAGTTTGAAACCAGCCTGAGCAAGAGTGAGACCCTGTCTCTACTAAAATAGGAAAACTATCCAGATGTTGTGGCAGGCACCTATAGTTCCAGCTACTTGGGAGACTGAGATAAGAGGAGCTCTGAGCCCAAGAGTTTGAGGTTGCTGTGAACTATGACGCTATGGCACTTTACCCAGTGTAACAGAGCGATACTCTGTCTCAAAAAAAAAAAAAATTACCACAAACTGTTGGTTTGAAACAACAGAAATTGGCTCGACGCCTGTGGCTCAAGCAGCTAAGGCGCCAGCCACATACACCTAAGGTGGCAGGTTCGAATCCCCAGCCCACGCCCACCAAACAACAATGATGGCTGCAACCAAAAAATAGCCAGGTGCTGTGGCAGGTGCCTGTAGTCCCAGCTACTTGGGAGGCTGAGGCAGGAGACTCGCTTGAGCCCAGGAGTTGGAGGTTGCTGTGAGCGTGATGCCATGGC